AGGAAAAATTTCTTAAAAAATTCTCAACCAAATTTTGTTTTATTAATAGTTGAATTAAAATATGTATAATGACATACTAATTGTCCCCATTGATTGAAATTGAGCTTTTTTTTTTAACAGCCTCGCAAAAGTTCAAAAATATGAGCTTTTTTAATTTTCTCAAAAAATATTTAACTTACAAAAAAAAATTCGTACTAAAGTTATTTAAAAGACAATTATAAACAAAAAAATTATCTTATATTTTTTCATTTAAACAATTATTTTTTGAGTAACATTACATTTAATATGAGTACTAAAATTTATATTCCATTTTTTTCATTTTACGGTTACTTTTTATTATGTTATACTTACATTAGACACAATNAATGTTGATTTAGAATATTATATTTTTGTTTCTGATACTTTCATCAGAAACATATGTATGTATGTGTGAGTTTATTTATTTATAGTATCATTTAAGTGTAGTGTATATTAAGATACAACCGATAGAGTAGGTATTTGATTTGACGCTATATTGTTTAAACCCAACTAAACGCTAAATTGTACATTCCNTGTTTAAACCCAACTAAACGCTAAATTGTGCATTCCCAAACAACAATCATATTATGTCAATTTCCACCGGAATTTCTGGTAATATTTTTCTTTTTCTTTGCCTTAATCCCAACTACTTGGCGTTAGCCACCCTTATCCTAAGCGTCCACTTGACACGATCTCCCACATCTTTTACGCTCACATCAGCTGTCCTCAAATCGCATTCAATAGCATCCCTCCATCTTTTTTTTGGTCTTCCTCTATCTCTTCTTCCTTCAACATTCATTTCTATAACTGTTCTTACAGCTTTCGANTTGGTCTTCCTCTATCTCTTCTTCCTTCAACGTTCATTTCTATAACTTTTCTTACAACTTACGATTCTTCTCTCCTCATAACATGACTAAACAATCTAAGTCTATTTTCTGTCATCTTATCCACGATTGACGCAACACCTATACTTCCTCTTATATGCTCGTTCCTTATCCTATCTTCTCTAGTCACTCCACTCATCCAACTAAGCATTCTCATCTCTGCTACACTTATTCTCTGCTCTACTTTCTTATCAACCGCCCAACACTATGAACCATACATCATAGCTGGCCTCACAATTTCATACTAAATTTAAAAACTATAATTAGTATTTATTCATATATTATATTTTAAAATCAAAGAACTACTAATCAGGATATAATTAAAGAAATAAGAGTTCATGTTGCTTTTAAAATATTTCACCAATTTCTCTAAAGGAAACACTATCTACAGATTTGCATCGAAGCGTTTCTTATGATAGTGATTTTAATCACTGTCAGATATCATCTATACTTGTCCCATCTATGCCTCGTCCACACTGTGCCTCGACCCCACTGTGCTACCGTTTTTTTCAATTACTTTTAAATATCTACAAATATATTATGGGAGTTATTTAAAATAAATGTTTGTTTTAAGAACATTTATAAGTTTTTATACTTCTGACGCTTAAGATTATAAATTATAATACTAAATTTTTATTCTTTCGCATTGAAAATTTAAAATCAAATTGTTCAAATAAAATAGTTGAAACTGTAGATTCATAAATGGAAATTATTGTAGTTATTGTAAATAACAAAATAATTATTCATAATACATTACAAATTACAATTTTTTTTATTTTTTTAAATCTTCAATTTTGAAAAACTCATTTTATTTATTTATTGTAAATTTAGATTACATAGTACAGAATAATTTTATAACATGATTCACATTACACGGTAAAATAATAGTAACAAAATTGACACCTATAGATCAATAAATTAACTTTAGTTACTCTAATCAACATTAGTCAACATAGCTGGTGTCAGGTGTGCTTTAGAAGTCAGTACGTGGGAGCACAACTATTTCGCGACCCTTGAAATTTCAAAATTTTTTTTATTCATCCACTATTTTTTCTTGTCATCACTTTTGCTTACATTTTTTTTAAAAATGTACAAACATTTATCTATATTTTGATTTTAAAAAAAAATCTCCAAATCCAATCGAATTATGATTCTGCCACAAAGTGTTTTTGGTAAGAAAATATATTGAATATAGGATTTTTTTAAACTATTTGATTAAAACATACGCGTAAAGAACTTCTGAATAAAGTTTTAAGTTTTTCTTAACTTATAACAAAATTAAAAGAAAAGTATTTTTAATATTACTAAAAATGATTATATTTTAAGAAAATTTCGGTGGTCTACGAAAAATCATTTGTACCTTGTATATAGTTTTAACATATATCATTAGTTACTTTCAAAATAAATACAATATTAAAAAAAAAAATTTTGATATCTTATAGTTGCATATATTTCTTAAGTTATCAGCTAATAATGGTTTTTGGAATCATCCCTTATAACATAAAGGGGTGTTAACTTAGTTTTTTAAAATAGCAACATACATATTTAACTATCTTATAAATTAGAAAATGACTGATCGATAACAAACTTTTGGACCAAAGGGTCTATTTTTTAGCTTGAACAAAAAGAAATTAGTATTTCTTAATTTATCATATTATTTTCAGCGAAAAATCCCCATGAAAAATTAATTTTTAATTTTATATTAACAAATTGTCTAATAGACATAGGTGTAAATGGGAAGCTAGATGACTCAACTCTCTAGTTGACAAATTAGATCTCAAGAAATTTAGAATATTGTGTAGAAATAATATAAATAGTTATTTTAAAATATTTTGAAATAGGGAATATGATGATAACAGTAATTAGCATACAAAAATCATGATTAGTTTGGTATATACCCACTATAAAAGTTCATCTAAAGCTTTAGTACACTAATAAATATTTTTTAGTATACCAACATTCAAAAATACGGTTTTTTAGTTTCACACTAATAGATGCACTAAAACGTCGTGTTTTAGTATACTAAACAGATTAGTATACCAATATAAAATTCAAAAATAAACCCACCGTTCTTTAACATTTATTCTCATTTTTATAAAAATATTAGCATCTCCAGTATTTACTTTAAATTGATAATAACTTCTGAAAATCTATTTCAAAAGTTGTTCTATCGACCAGTCATTTTCTTAATTAAATTATTTCCTATAGTATAAGATAGTTAAATATGTATGTTGCCATTTAAAACAACAAAGTTGATACCCCTTTAAGTTGTAAGAGATGATTGTAAAAAGTAATTATTAGCTGATAAATTTTGAAATATATGCAACTAAAATAAGTCAAAACATTTTTTTTTTTTATATTGTATTTATTTTGAGAGTATTCTAGTGATTTATGGTAAACTGATTACTCTATATATATCAATCACATGTAAATATATAAATGATTGCATGAAGATGAAGTATTATCTGTAGACATATTTCCTCAAGACCCTACTGTGTTTGTTTTATTGTTCGTGTCCTAAATCTAAAAATTATATTTGTGCACTTGTTACTTATATATTCAACAAATTAAATATCTTAAAATCACTTCAAGCACAAGAATTAGATGTTCAAAAAAACAAACACTTCAAATAATTTTTTTATCGTTTCAAAAAACTTTCTACATCTTCGATTTTAATTGAAATTTGTAAAAGTTTAATCACTTAATTGTTAAAAATTCAAGATAATTCATTTAACTCGTGCGAGTAATACCTTATCCTTGAACTCTTAAAAACCTTGATGTATAATTTTACTTTTGCGATTAAGTGACAAAATAAACATTGAAATATCATTAAAGTTTTTAAAATATGTAATGCGTTAATAATCATCATTGGTTTTAAATGAAAATATTTCGTATTATATCATCTGCAGAATAAAAATAAAATTTGAACAAATCTCGAATTGTTATATATCAATATTTAAGTAATCCCAAATGTATATTAAGCAAATATAAATTTATTTTACGTCACAACAAAAGTAAAATTTTAACATAATTCAAAGTTTTTAGGTAGATTTTCAAATAAAAATGAATAATATTATATTTCTAGCATTGTTTTTTTCTGTAAGTTTTAATTATACTAAATAAATATAATTTGTATTTTTATCGCGTTAATTAACTTTGTTTCAAAATTTAATCGTAAAACATATATTTGGTTCCTATAAATATAAACGTATATTTTTATTAATAGTGAAATAGTGCTTGTCAATTAAATACTGTTTGTAATGTGAAAAATTATAATATTTTATTTTACACAGGTTTCATTATTGGGTATCACAGTCAGAGCATTTAATCAACTGCAAGAATTTATCAATTTTAATAAAGTTAACGCAATAGATTCCCTCATGAAATGCTTTGGAAGGCATAACAATGGTATTTTATCTTATCATAATTTTTTTTTGTTGTTTGGACAAAAATTAATAATTACATTTTTTTAGTCTTCTTTCTTCTTGCCTTAATTTAAATTTGATTTTAATAATGAAAAATAATTTACTTATTATTCTACAAGTAAATCTAAAATAAAAAAATGCATATAAAAAGCAGTAGTTAAGAATTTTTAGTATTTCTTGTATAATTATCAAAAAAATTGGTATTCTTCTTATTCCTCGCCTTAATCCCAACTAGTTGGAGTCAGCTACCTTTATCCAAAAACTTCCATTTGAAACGATCACCCACGTTATCTACGCTCACATCAGCCGTCCACATATCACTATATTCAATTACATCCCTCCATCTTTTTTTTGTCTTCCTTCAACATTCATTTCAATAATTGTACTTATAGAGTCCAACTCCTCTCTTCTCATAACATGACCAAACTAACTATGTCTATTTTCTCTCATCTTATCCACGATTATACACCGATACTTCCTCTTATATGTTCTTTCCTTATCCTATCTCCTCTAGTCAACCGCCCAACACTCTGAACCATATATCATAGCTGATCTGACTACATTCTTATAGAATTTACCTTTCAGCCTCATTGTAATTCTTTTATCGCATAACACACCAGACCCTTCTCTCCACTTAAACCAACCGCACTTAATCCTTTGTCTTGCATCTTCGTCAAAACCCCCGCTATTTTGTACAACTGATCCTAAATACATAAAACTTTTCACCTCTCCTATCATTTCCTCGACCTTTTTTTAACCTTGTACTTTATATACTCCTATTAATTCTTAAACTCTTTTCTTCAAAAGTTGATCTCCATACCTTTAACCTTTGATTAATTTCCTCCCTATTTTCTTCTTCTCCTATACTTTTCTATACATTATCTCGTGCGAAATAATGGCTTCATTGTTAATTTACCAGGCATAAATTCAAACTGATTTTTAGATACCCATGTCTCATTTTTTATTCTTTTATCTATTACCTTTTCCCAAATTTTCAAACTGTGACTCATAAGCTTTATTCCTCTATAATTTATAATTCTATATAATTTCCGTATGTCTCCTTTACTCTCATCAACAATCTCCTTTGCAGTATTCTTTACACAACTAACAAATTTATTCCACACATCATTTATGTCTCCCTTTTTTTAGTAATGTGGATATTATTAAAATTATTCAATAACCTCATACTAAAATAAAGTGATGATTATAATTGTACACGGCAATAAAACTTAATGTTTTACCTAATGAAATGATTATAATAAAATCAAAAGCAAAGTTTTTACCTTTATATGTGTACCATAACATTAAGGTTAAAGCGCAGGAAAATCCCGGCATCTACGCGATTCCAATAGAACTTAGTAGATCACTAACTGAATAATATTTTTTTTTTAAAAATTTCAAATTTCAAATTTTTAATTTTTATTCTTCATTTGAGTATATGATCATATGTTTTAAAAACATTGCTTCCCCCTGATCAAATCAAATCAGGTGCCCTGTGAATATTTTACATGGGGGCAAAAATTTAATAGCTAAATATAAATCCCTTAATTGTTACAAAAATAAATCAGCAGTTGAAACTTGTTTTAGTGATTGTCAGTAATCATAAAAAAATCCGGTAGTATTTCTTACGGAAATTATGGATAGCCAACAATACTTAACCCCCTAATTTAATGAGCTTCTTTACATTTTATATTATAAGCAAAATATTCGATTTTATTTTTAAATATTTTTTCAAAGATAAATTTACAAAAATCTTAAAATAAAAATTGATTTTATAAAATTATGGTAAATATACAAGTGTTATGGGTCTAACTCACAACGCTTATAACTTTTGATACAATTATCATTTTGTTGTAATTCTTTTAAAAATAATTTTTACCTTCTTAGACTATATTTATTTATCACTAAAAGACATTAAAAAAAATTTTTTTTTTTTAATATTAAAATAGCTCTTTTTTATCCCTTTTTCTTACAATACATTTTGACTGGTCAATAATAATTTTAGGATAATTACTCATTGAGTTACAGCATTTTAATACATGAAGTGGGTACGACAAATACCTCTTTACACTTTGCCTTTTTAGATCCTGCTCCATTGGATGAAATAGAATACTATTAAAATCAAAGTCATGAGTAATTTTTCTTCAAAAAGAAAATAACATCTTTAAAGAGTATTACTTCTGTTATAATTTTTTAATATTTTATATCTGTTTAAAGAATATGAAAATATTGTTAACGAAAAAAATATAGATGAATTTATTGAAAGAATAACCAAAATTTGTGAAAATTTTTGCTCGCCTAATAAAAAAGTAGTATCAGAATATAAACAAGTTGAAGATTTCCTGTGCAATACAATGGATACGTCATGTAAAATAGTCACTAGACAATGTTTTAAAAATTTCCATAAGGACCTATTTTCTTTTTCGGACAGAACGTCAAATTTTTTAGTATGGGTAAATTATATATCTACATTTAATTACTATATTAATATTAAATTTGGTTTAATTATTACTTTTAAACATAAAATAAATAACGCTAGTTTAAAAATTATAACTTATTATGATAGTTTATTTTATAGTTTAATAAAAATACTTATTTTTACATTTAGAAAGTTTTGAATGACCGTGATAAAAAATTAATAAGAGATACAGGATCAAAAATAAAAGTTGATTTTGAAGTATGTTTTCATATTTAGTGTACACATTATTATTGTGCAAGTTAATTTGTGCTCAATAATATTATTTTTGTTGTTAAAAAATAAACAACATTAATCTATTGTTAGAAACTCATAATATGATTCTTAAATTATTAATTATAAATCCACAGAATGAAGAAACATCAATGTTACAAAAGTTGGCATCATTGCTAAATTACTACCAAACCGAAAATGTGAGTATACTTAATAATAAAAATACAGAGTGGAAACAATTAAGGTATTTATAATGGCTTAATTATGAAATTTTATAATTATACTATATAGATTACATTTGTAAAGTCGCTTAGCTAAACTGAAAGGTTATTTTGAATGCTTGTGTACATAAAAAAAAAATAAGTGTAATTAATTTAATCATAAATTCGTAGTGACTAATTAGAAATGCTGAGTTTAAAAATGTACAATGATTAATAAATTGAAAAAAAAAGAAGAAATTCATATAATTTGAGTAATTTATTGGAAGTTATTTAATGTTAATAGGAAATCAAATTAAATATACATTAAACAATTCTAAATTTAAAAATGTAATTAGACTAAATAAATAAACTTTGATTGATTTCAGGACAAGAATTGAAAAATTATCAACTCTGAACATTATATTTTTAATTTATAAAACATATAAAATATATATTTCACACATAAATACATTTTTATGTACGTTTTAAAAATATCGATTGAAATAAATTTTTTTGTTTTCGACACGCTTATAAAATTTGACTATTTGACTTACTGTTGAATGCTATAAATTATGTACTTATTGATTTCACTTAACATTAATATAATTTATATTAATAAAGGAAAATTTTCAAAAATGTTCTGTAATAAAATAAACAACAATACGGTAAAAATGATTATAGCAAAAAACATATTGCAGAATGTTTTTTTTTTTTTTGACAAATTTGATGAAATCTTCTCTTACTGTCGCTTTCAACTATTTACCTTCTGGCCAACCATGTGTTTTTTATATTTTTATTTGTAAATATCAAAGAATTTAATAACACATGAATACATAAACGGTTTATTAAAATAAAGATGCACAATAATGAAAAAAAATAATAATATTAATAACATATATAGTTCAACAATCAGTTTAAAAAATATCATGTGATTTCATTTAAGTTTTCTATTGTTTGTTTTTCCTTTGATTTACATTAATAAAAAAAAAAAATAATTTTATAATTATTTAACAAACTTTGTGTAATATCAACTGTACCGCATAATTTTTTTTCATACTGAAACCAATCGTAAATTCATTAGTTCTATGATGTTAATTTTATTACTAAATATCCGTTTTGTATAATTTGAATAATAAATTATATTTTTATTTAATATTTTTCTAATACAATTTTTAACCAGTTAATTGTAATTTTTTTTATTTTTACAAATAATATACTTTATGTATATCATTTCTAGATAATAAATTCAAAATAAATGACTAAATTCATTTTGAGCAACCTCCGTGTGAGATTTATAAAAATATTTTGAAACTATTTAATTAAAAACTGTAATTAAAAGTAAAGTACAGTTTTCAATTATGATCTATGACCTAAGCAAGGTTACTGATTACTTCATTAATTGAAGTGTACATACAAATTTTTCTCACCGATCATTCTTAAATTATAATTAAAAGTTATTTAATTCTTAGCATATAAACATAAGAATGTAAGTAAAATATATATATATATATATGGATTTTAATGTAAACAACGATGTAAAATATCTCTACACTATTTGGCTATTTCAACTCGGGCGATGTTGCGATTAATAACTAATAACATGTTATAAACATTTTGTCAAGTATACTAATATTAAAAACAACGTTCATAATTAGTGTAAAATTAACGTGACTATTTCTCATCAAATGCAAAATTAAAAAAAATATTAATTTTCGCAGCATTAAAATATTATTAACCTTTACTTTAAGTATTATTGCTATTTATAAATATTAAACTATACAATTCTGGGAGTACTTGTTTGTAAATTTAAGTATTATAATTTTGGATAGTTATGACGAAATTTTTTTGATAATACAACCTAATATAGGGTTACCTTAAACTATATAGGGAACATCATATCTCAAATATTTATAATAAATGGCTAATTAATACCGATATTGCACATCGGAGTCATCACAGTAATCGTCGTTATAATCACAAAAAAATATTTTTTCACATTACATCTCGATCTTTCATAACAGTGTCTTTTATATAATTATATTTTAACCTTTAACCGATTCACATTTATTATTAATTCAAAATACCTCAATTTCACCAGATAAACAAAGAAATAAAATTTATGTCACAGAAATTTAAACATATAAATTCTATTAACTGGAAAATAATAAAATATACTTTTTTTAATTATATTATAAAAAAAGTATTTTTAATTTTAACGAAATGAAAATCTATAAAGTTTACAATAAAATACTGTAGTTAATTATTGAAGAATACATTTATTGAGCATTAATATATAGTAAGCTCGTAATATTTTTTTTTTTTTTAGTATTTTATTATTTTTTAACCCGATAAATTAAATAATTGTTATCTAATTTAATGGATTTGGTGTCCTAGAGCATAAGTTCTTTGTGGTATTAAAACTATTAAAACATTAATAGCTATTGTAGTAATGACAACTTTGATAGTGGCCAAAGATTGCTTCTGAGATGGATTCTGTAATATGTGTTCAAAATTTCATAAATAAGTCTTTAAATTACAAAGTCATATTGCATTCCATTAATGATTTGATAATGTAATATTTCGACAAATAAATAGGATTGTAACACAGACTTTAATTCACTGTCTTAATCTTTCAATGAATATTTTTTCAAAAGAATTCATATACATACAATAATCATCAACATTCGCCGCTACTTTTTAAAAAGATAATGTTTTTGCCTTAAGCTTATTATATAGTTTAAAAACATTCTTATGAAATTATGTTATAAAATCATTCAAAACAAAGTAGTACATGTCTGGCTTAGAACGTCTAAATTATCAAAAAGCTAATGAGCATTTTTACATGATAAATAACTTATTTAAAACTGAACTTTATGTAAACTAGCGAAGATATCATAAACATCAATTGATATTTCAAATGAATTTAACAGAAAACTATTTATTAATAATTAGGAAGTAAGAGTTTAATGTATTATTTACATTATGTGTAATATTATAGTTTTTAATAGTAATAATTACTAAAAATCAATTATTGGATTTTTAAATTATTCAATTTAAATTACATTTCATTATTGAAATATCATTTTACACATTATTGAGTAATTTCTTAATTAACGTTTCGACTTTTCTAACCAACAATACTTCATGAAAAAAACTAATAGATATTATAATTAATAATCAGTTTTTCAACGAGCCAATATAATATAAGCAAATGTAAGTACACCTTTTTTTTTATTGATTTTCATAACTCTGAGAATCTAACTAAATAAAGTATTTCATTAACTTGTATCAAGTTTAAAAAAAATACAATACATATCAAAAAAATAATAAATAAAAACAAATTTACCAATAGTAAAATATTAGAAAAAATAATACCCACGTGATTCTGTTGTTGACGATCCGAAAAAATATATAAATTAATATGAGTGTCGATCGAATTTCAATGAAACAACTGATTTCTCTACACGATTTTTAAACAATGATGAATCAATAAATATTTTGTAATGTTTTCTTAATAATTTAATTGATAAATCTTGTATTCAATTATACATAGAAATATGGAAACATTGATTAAATATTGAATAATATTTAATACATACAAAAATAAGTTAAAACTGTAAAATTTATGTAAATATTATCACACATTTCATCAGTTAAAATTGCAAAATGCAACTTTTATTTAAATTATAAGAAGAAGTTAGCTTAATATTTGACTTAGATATTTTTATTACGAAATAGTATAAAAATAGGCAGAAACCAAAATTATCGATTCAAAGATTATTTGGAATTTGAAATGGAACTAATTTTAATTTAAATATTCTTTAGTTCACTATATTTTTTTTTAATTTATATATTATTTTGAATCGATACTTCATATAAAAATCAAAAAAATTGAACTAAATGTCATTTAAGAATTTATCATATATTATCGAATAATAATAAAAAAAATCAATGCCATGGTTGGAAATCTAGAATCGAAGATAAAAAAATACTTAAAATACTAAATTAAAAACCGGTTATAAATGCAAAATACAATAAATAATTTAAATAATATAAGTAAATATGCTGTATTTAATATAATTTTGATATTTTAATTTTATAATATTTTTCGTAAAGTATCATTAATTAGACCAACTGCTTCTTAAGAATGAATACGTTAACTTTAAATCTGGTGCATAATTAATTTTGAATTTATTAATTTAATATAATTTTTTTATTTATGGTAATTTAAAGGTTAAATTATCACTTATTGATTTTTTATGTCACGCTGAATAATAAAAATGTTAATCATATAAATATGAGAATTAGTAAGTCCCGATCATTTTTTCAGTGTATAAAAGTCGCTTTTATGATATCAACTTAAATAGTATGTACACTAGGGTGGCCCTCAAAAATCGAATGTCTTTTTTTTCTTTACGCTACCCCTTAATTTTTTTTTAATGGTCAAAAAAATGAGCTGTGCAAAATTTGGGACCGATCCGTTAAGGTTAACCCGTGCCCCCGGGCCTATTAAGTTCAGTCAAAGAGTCAAATTTAAAAGAAATAACTGATCTATGTCTCATAACTTTTTTTTCTCTTAACTTAGAATAATAGAAGTAAAACTCAAGTAAAGGAAATTTTACAAGAAATTCAAAAATAATAACTTCAATGTTGTTTTCTCAATAAATAGCCCACAAAAACACTACATACAGTAAAAAACATGTAAAAGTCTTAAAATACGTTATAACTGATTTTGTTGATTTTTAATTATTTATTTTCATTTTATTTTTTGGAAAACGCATTTTCGTTTAAAAAAAGAATCTAGAAGTTTAATTTTTTATGCCAAGTACGATAATTATATTAGATTTATTATTTTATAGACAGTTGATTAATGATTAATTACAAATTTAACAAAATTGATTGTATTATTACATTTTGTCGTATCAATATATCAATTTTGGTTTACTGAATTACGTTAAGATAGTACCAATTATATTATTATTAAAGATAAGAATATTATTAATTTAATTATTGTTAAAATATTTTTTTTAAAGTTATTATTATTTAAAAAAAAAATAAATTAAAAATTGTTAATAACAATTAAATTAAACTGTTAGGTTTGTAATTAATCATTAATTAACTGTCTATAAAATAATAAATCTAATATAATTATCGTACTTGGCATAAAAAATTAAACTTCTAGATTCTTTTTTTAAACGAAAATGCGTTTTCCAAAAAATAAAATGAAAATAAATAATTAAAAATCAACAAAATCAGTTATAACGTATTTTAAGACTTTTACATGTTTTTTACTGTATGTAGTGTTTTTGTGGGCTATTTATTGAGAAAACAACATTGAAGTTATTATTTTTGAATTTCTTGTAAAATTTCCTTTACTTGAGTTTTACTTCTATTATTCTAAGTTAAGAGAAAAAAAAGTTATGAGACATAGATCAGTTATTTCTTTTAAATTTGACTCTTTGACTGAACTTAATAGGCCCGGGGGCACGGGTTAACCTTAACGGATCGGTCCCAAATTTTGCACAGCTCATTTTTTTGACCATTAAAAAAAAATTAAGGGGTAGCGTAAAGAAAAAAAAGACATTCGATTTTTGAGGGCCACCCTAATGTACACCATATATAAAATATTTTATACTTGATTAGGTACATAGGTAAATAGTTTTGCATTATTCATAGACTGCTAAACACTACAGTTTATCAAAAATTATACAAACGTGTCTAAAATCTTTATGCCATGTAAACTTTTGTTATATGTGTTCTAGAGGCTAACAAGTGAGAAAAAAAGTTTTTTTTATAAAAATAAAACGTTATTATATAAATCCAAATATATGTTTACTAATTCTTTTGTATTCAATGCTTAACAGTACTAAACAAACCAGTCTACGACTATTTATTATCATTTCTTCTTCATTTCCTTAGGTCGATTTGTAATCTTTATTTATACATCGTCCCACTGTGTTATATTTATGGATCATCGTACATTTAATATCATAAGTACTGCAATAAATAGCCTAATGTCTCAAACCTAAATGCATATTTAGGAAATTACAAAACTCTTGGTTTTTATATGTACAGGTATCTTATATTTATGAGTGATGTATCTCAGCAGTTACAGACACTGAGATGACTGGGTAGTTATACAAATAGCCATTAGGCAACACAATAAATGGTTATCATTACGAGTGTAACATTCTCCCACAAGTAATAATAATTGAGTTTTACGCTTATTATCGGTTTTTTGGCAAAAAGCGAATCTTCCACCACATTGACAAGTGCATCTTGCGCAATATTTGAACCCGTGTTACCTGTGTTAATTATATAAACTTAACTAATCAGAAAAAAATATGTACCTTTAGCACAATTTTTAATGTAATGTTTTGTCGATTTAAAACCAGTTCTTCAGAAAGATAGTTAAATAATTGAAATTCGCTTAAGCAAATAGTTTTATAAAACAACATGTTCATAGGTTAATCGACGAACATCAATTAAAATATTTTTATTGATGATAGCCTTCTTACGTGAAAAGTATTAGCTAAGTAACGATTTTACGTTTTTTTATAGATTTATAGTATTAAATTACAAAAACAGAATTACGTTCATGTTAGACCATAATTCACACTAATAAAATAATATAACTGTCTAATTTAAACTTTATTTTCGAAATCCATTCAATTGACATTTACACCCACACAACTGGTCAAATTTACGTTAAAACAACATTATACAGGTTATCAAATTTTATAAAAAAACAACCAATACAATTTAGAGGTCATTAAGGTAAAATCAGCAACTCCCATTATAGTGGAAAATTTACAATCACAGTAACTGGGTGGAATAGGACATTACCACGTTCTGCACATAGAAAATTTTTATTATACGAATTTGTTGCTTATCAAATGAGATTAAAAATAAATAATCCACTGGAACTGGTAATGCATCATATCTGTTTATGACTATTTCATAATTTATTAATTTGATTGCGTGAAAAAAAAACACTAAAATTATCTACAACGAGAGTTCTCACAGCGTACTCCATTAATATTAACGACCTTCTTGGAGTCTTCCAAGGATGTGTCTTAAAGCTCAGAAATCGGTAATCTCATTATAATATTTATGTTTCATCTACTTACTCACAGTATTCGTATCAACATTTGTACATACGATTACGAATAACAATAGACTCGGTGGCCACAGCACTTGCACCTCATCCGCCTCGGAATTCTTTCTATTTTTGTGCGTTTTTCTACGTACCCCGTCTCGCCTTGACCCGGTTGTACTGAAAAAATCTTCTTGACACGATACTCCAGGAGAAGTCAGTTTTTTCTTCCCTAGACGCCGTACAAAAGTGGAGGGGCCCCGGGAGAAAGGAAGACGACACCCTCGACTTGCAGAATGAATACGCGCCGTCGTCTTCAAACGCGCCATTCGCGTATGTAAACGCGTGTTGGCAACACTATACGCACACAACCGACACAAAGTCTCTTTCTTCGATACTGTGCAGATACACACGCGCGCGTTTTAATTTTTACTAAAATATCGTTAATCAAGAAAAAATTCGACTTTATATAAGTATACAGGAACACCAAAAGTGTACAGAGGATTGTATTAATTTAACAATCGGTTGGGTTTGTGGTAAAGGATATTCTGTCAGCATTTCGTTTTAAACAAAGGACTTACTGACCGGTAAGTTGATACAATTAAATTATCAATAAATAATATTAAGTCTTTAAAGTTCTCATAAAAACCATTAATAAAAATACTAAGTTTTTATATTTGCTAAAAAGAAATTTTATAAATTAGAAAACGCTTTTGTTATGATCAAAATGTAATCATAAATATTTACTATTTAATGGTAAACGTTAATATTTTAAATCGAAATTCAACTATCGAATTGTAAATACTCCAAAATAGTAAAATCATTATAATAGATTAAGCAAACGATAATTTTTTTTCTTATTGGTAACTAATAGATAATTTTAGTGATACGAAGGAAAAGAAGTGGTTGTATTAACCAACAGATAAATTATGTATATATTTCATTAGGACCGCATATGGAAACATATTAAAAATTGATAAATTATTTTCCTAGGGTATGATTTTTTAGAGTAAAATTATTTAAGAATATAATCTTCTAACACTTAGAGGAATGAAACGATCGTAATAGAATCAATCAATTGTTATTTATGTTTGATGCAGTAAATACTAAATAGTCTGTCCTAGATTATCGAAGCGTATTGTTCTTTTCTCTATGATTTCGCTTTGATACAAATATTATTTGTGTATTGTGATAAACTAATTGTTGTGTTTGGCCACGAACTATACTGGAGAGAATCGCGGCACGACTATTATGGGCACGCAATAAGAGCATCAAAACCCCGTGATTTAAAATCATCATGTTTGAATTATACTTCTCGATGGACGCATACCGTACTTTCAGTTTTTTTTCCTCCAGCATTCAATGTAAAGTGCAAAGATATACAATACGAACGACCTTTGTAATTAAATAGTTGTCCACAAAACTATCCTAAGGGTTAACAAAACACAATTGTTAACATGATTCAATTTAACGCATTATCTGATATAATCTCTTTCGACTTCACTTTATAATCGAATATAATTTCGTAACCCTTTGGCCATATTTATATTGTGCCTAAATTACGATTGTTGTGATACTGAATTTTTCTCACTTTCAGCAGATGTTAATTCAAATCTCTACATCATTTAAATCAATTTATAAATAACAATTGAAAATGTTATAACATATAGCTGCAAGATAAAAATATCCGAGATTATATAAACTTATGATTTAATTTTTCTATTTTGATTCTGAGATACTTTTTAACCAAAAAATAATCCTTAAAATTTTATTTTGTATACATAAATTGCATTAAGGATAGCAAACTTTTCACATTAAACACGTGACTCAAATAGTTGTCAAAATTTCTACTATAAATATTATTTAACAAAATATTTTACAATCATAATTTAAATGCTGAGAACAAATAGGTTCTGAATTTTTTAAATATTTTTATAGTTATATAAGTTTCTAATAGTAGTATGGGGTCGTGGTGCGGCGCAGCGAAACATTCAGTCATCGCCTTAGCGCTGATGTTCAGATGCGCTATTTGCTGTTGGTTCCCGGATGGGTGACCATACGGGAACTTTAAAAGTAACACATACCTTGCCCCCATACTGGTTCCCCAAGCCATAATGAGGGGACGTCAGGTCGACAATCGGTGTAAAATTCCGTCAAAGCGTTAAGGCAGAACCCGAACCCAATTAATTGGTATAAAAACATGATGATGATAATTAAATTATAGCTTTAACTTTATCTATAAAAATTATTAAAATAATTAATTAACATTTTTACGGAAATCTAAATAGTTATAAATAAATATTAAATTGTTAATCGCAAAGTCTCGTGGAAAACAATTTACACGGGGCTTCTATTTTTTAATTCAAAAATATATATATATTTTTTTTAATCTTATTTAATTCTCAGGGATCTCCAAAAGCGTAGGGTTTAGTACGGAGACGCATTACACATACTCATTGCGCCTGCTCTGAATTCAAGAATTTCTCGACTCACGAATTATTATATGAACAAAATTGAATGCATTAACACACTTTATAAAGTCTGTTAATATTATTGACATTTTTCAAAAATTAATTTTTACATTCTTGTACTTTATAGCGATTAAGTATATTTGTCATGTTTAGAAAAATCGTAAGTTTGTTGCATAATGTGACTTATTGTTCATGTAATTGACACAAATATCATCCTAAGAAAACGCAACACATAAATACTTACATATTTTTCCATTAAAAATTACTTTTATGTGGTTTTAGTAACCTAATTACAATTTTTTCTGACATTAACAAAGTAATGTTAACCGATTGACACAAATTATGTTTATTTTATATTTGTATCAAGTTTTATTGTGTCACTATTATTTTACCAAAAAAAAAGTACTCCATCGTCGTTAATTATTCTTAAAAACAAACTATTTTATGGGTATCACATTAAATTTGATTATAGAATAGTTGAATTTCTTATGTTGATTTCATAATTTACTCAAATCTTAAGAATGCTCTTTTAAGTTGAGTAATAATGACTGTCCATGTTGGATAAATGGTATACATAATTTGGATAAAATCCAAACCCATTGTATTAAACTGGAAATAGGATAAGACGACGAAACCGATAGTATTGAATTTCTGGCAACACATTCGTCGTTCGAAATTCCATACATTATGCACTTTTTAAACGGACAATGAACCAACTCATAGGATAGACCATAAGTATTTTACTCGCTCACCCTAATGAAAAATGTACGTCTATGTAACAATAATTTTTGTCCGTTCTAATCTGGAGGCGTGTAACCATTTGGACAAAATAATTGCTTCTTATGTTGTAACATATATTAAATACTTATTTTTATCCTGTTTGAGTTTATATTTTTTGACAATGTCCATTTACCATACCCCAGGCTATTTTATATATATTTCTATAAGATAAATCATCCCGCAGTATATAGATTTCTTTATCTACGGATACGTTAAGTAATAAGCATTTCACTAACGTGCTTCCCATCATGATAATTTTCCAATGTTAATTTTAACCACTACAATATTTTTCTAGTTTATCATCAGCTTTAAACATAATGCGTATTGCCTAAAAGGAATAGTTCATTGTTAATAACAACAATTGCCACTTGTTCATTAATGTCTATAATGATTAAAATGTGTATCTTACTGTTTAAATGATGTGTTAAATAGAACAAGTCTTTTATCCTATTTAAGTTCAATATTAGTTAACAGCATAAAAATTAATTATACAACAGCTTTTTAATTATACTAATAGGCAATCGACTTGTACATAAAATTGACCTATACCATATTTACTGGAGCATTAAAACAATAGGCCAAGTTGCATTATTACAAAAAATATGTAAATCTTAACTGTCCATCATATTTTTAAAACTTATTTCTTTTATATAAACAATTGTAAAAGTAGGTGAAAAATCTAAATTAGTTGCGTTATTGAGTTTTAAAACATAATTCATGAATAAATTTATCCGCATCTCTTGTATTTTCAAATTATGTAATGATTACTTTACTCTTAATTGTCAATCTAGTTTATAGTTTTTTTTATTAATTCAGTATTTTTTAAATATTTATAAACACAACATTTAAATTAAATTTTTTTTTTTTTATCGCTTGGGGAAAAAAACTTCAAGTAATAAAATTCTGTGTTCAGTGCGAGAGCGTATTATTTCATTAAAGTCAAAGAAAATGAAACTAACGTTTTTTAACTTATAAAGTTGATTTATTTATACTAGTAGATAATGTGCAATATTAAGATTCAATATATTATTGGACTATATCTCACTATTTCAACAACTCTTAACTTAATCGCCAAATATCATTAACATATTACTATTTAAGAGGTTAAATATGAAACTAATACACAGATACTAGTTGAATGATTTATCACGGCGCCTCTACATTGTATACTGTGATCTCTCATGAGGTTATATCACTAAAGTTACAACGTGACTTAACTATTCGCTGATCGATAATAATTAACATAGTTACCTATGGGTGGCTTTATAAATATTAGATAATAATATCCACTTGTATGTAAGTAAGCTTCATAAAATATCGGACAATGCATCCTACAGTTAGAAAAAATTACTATCTAAAAAAGGTTTTTTAGCTAAACAAAATCAGTGTCAACTCTCTATCAGAAAAGTCTCATCAGATATAATTAAACAAACTAATGTTAAGTGACCTTTGTGTGTATTTTTTAATGTTATACTACCAATCTAAATATCATAAAATGGTTTTTTTTCTATTTTCATCTTGATCAAAAAAATGTTTTTTCAATTCTGTGGAATTTGTAGGTACTTATGACCTTAACAAAAATCAAAACTAAAATAAAATTTCAACGCATATTTGTTCGATTTTTTTGTGTATAGTAATTATTAATTAAAATACATTAAACGCATACTGCACGGTCTGACACAACATCGTCGTGACAAAACGTTATGTGTCCACCCGCACTGAAGGATTTCAATTCTACGTCTATAATTAGTGCAAGGTTTTTGAGTTGAAAACTGTAGTATACGTTTAATTTTTATCTTAGTATTAGGTTTTTTGTTATTGTTATTGTACTTTCCTCGCGTGTAATTAATAATTTTGTTTTGGTGGGGTCATGTGTATTCAACAGCTGGGGTTGTAACGGCCTTCAGCCGGACCTCATGTCGTCTATGAAAGTTGCTGGAGATTCTCTCACTTGGACGCACTAATGACATTTCACAACAGCCGACTGCAGAAGACTTCTTCGGCGCTAATGTTTACTTTTGTTTAGACAGCCGGAAAAAAACAACAGCGATACCCAATCGCCGAGAACCACGCTAGCTTGAATATTTCATAATGACCAGCAAAATACACAGCGTGTACAGGAACATATTAAAAAGAAAACAGTGTTGTTACACCACTAACGTAATGATAGATATACATGAACTGCCCGTTTTGAAAATGGTTCTCACCCGGTCACAATGGTTTTAACCAGACTGTGAACAACATTACCTTTATTAATCCGTTTAACTGTGGCGTTTGCGTGCATCCATCTGATGGACAGTGGTCGTGTTTGAGAAATCAGAATCATTTGAACGACG